CGGTCCGTATATAGTTATACAGACCGGGATCGGTCCCTATATCCTGTAAACAGTAGCTTTTCTTTTTTTTTTCTAGGTTACATTTGGTGAATTTTAAAAGTTTTTATATATAATATAATTAAACTTTTACAAATTTTAAGTAATTATTTTAAATAATTATTCCAAACATATTTTATTTTTTTATAAATGCATTTATTTTGAATGGTAAAATATATTTTTGAATTATTTGGTAATATTACGTAATTATTAAATAAAATAAATCTGTTTTCTTTTTTTTTTCCTAAAATGATGTATACTGATCGATCCCGGTCCGTATATATATACGGACCGGGATCGGTCTGTATATTCAGTGAACAACAGCTTTTTTATTTTTTTTTTCTAGATTAAATTTGGTGAACTTTAAATTTTTTTATGTATATATGTTTATACTTACTAAATAAGTATAATTTTTATTAAATATATATATTCATACTTAATTTAATTTAGCTTTAGGATAAAAAATCCCTCAGAGTGCCTATATTCGGACCGATACCGGTCTGTATATACATATACGGATCGGGATCGGTCCGTATATGCCCCTTAACAACAACTTTTTATTTTTTTTGTTATTTCATGCTTAACTCGTTCTATTCTCGTTTTAAACCATAACCTTCCAAATGTTTGCAATCCAAAGTGGTTAACCTAAATAAAAAAAATTAATTTTATTTGCTTGTGGCTCCGAAAGAGCATTACGTAACATTTTCTCTAATAACCTTAAACTTATACGTTCGTGGTTTTGCAACGATATTACTCCGTACCATCGTAAGATAATTTCAGGTAGACAATCGATGGTTTTGTGGTTCTAAGGGTGTCACGCCCCAGAACCCAAATCCGGGGACGTGGCAAACGCCGTGCACTTGTGAGACGGGTCCCACAAATGCACAAGGCTCGGAACTTATCAAATTCACACTCTGATACCATCAAAATCTGAAGATCAAATCTTTAAAATTCACTCTGATATCATAAAATCTCAAAATACAAGATCATGATTCATATCTAAAATTTATATCCAATTACAATATGGCTAGCCTTCTAACTCGTCACTTCCCGTGGTTTCCCTGTCCTCGTTTCACTTCCTGAAATGGTGGACAAGGAAAAACTATGAGATAAACTCAGTAAGTAAATATGGAGTGCCCTTAATTAAACTTATAGCATGCCAACAAGTACAATCACGAAAACAAATACAGTACGGGCACGAAATAGACGTCTCCTCTATAGGTCACGGCCAGTGTTATAAACCTCCCACTGGCGGGCTACAAAAATTACTAGTGTTTAACCCCCACTAGTAGGGTTACAGAAACGAACCGGTTCTATCAGTAACATGTCGACATGTGCTAGCGTTTATAAACCTCCCACTAGCGGGCACACGAATAACATGACCATATCGGAGACAAAACAGGCAGAAGTTAACAGGAAACTCACAATTCACAATCACTTTCAAATCATTAGGACAATCACTTAAATTTCAAGTAGGCATGCTCAGTTTCATGAAAAGCACAAAACATTTCACTTCAAATCAGTCATGCTCGTGTAAAACGGGTTTAGTCCCGCCACCACTTCAAAAACAAATCAAAACATGCTTTTAAAACAGTACGGGCATTACCATAAATTTACTTACCTCACTCGCATAAAACCGAGCACTCAATCTCAATGCTAAACTGACGAAACGATCAGGAACCTAATCAAAACACCTCAGAATTAATACCGGACTATCACAAATTCAAGCTGAAATCATCATTAGGATCATTCCTAATCACAATGCTATTTCTATCACTTTCCACATGATCGGACATCTCCAAATTCGTTCTCATATCACAAACTAATCATTCAAATTCCCGTTAAATGTATTTTTTTTTTAAAGATCTTTACGGACCGAAAACGGTCTGGATTTAGTTTAAGAATGGCGTAGGTTGGAGATGGAACTTTTAAAAGTTACAAATAAGTCCAAAATATTCGGACCGAAAACGGTCTGGATATAGTTTGAGAATGGAGCCTTTTGGAGTGGAACTTTTAAAAGTTACAAGCAAGTCCACAATATTCGAACCGAAAACAGTCTGGATATAGTTTGAGAATGGAGCCGGTTGGAGATGGAACTTTTAAAAGTTACAAGCAAGTCCACAATATTCGAACCGAAAACGGTCTTGATATAGTTTGAGAATGGAGCCGGTTGGAGATGGAATTTTTAAAAGTTATAAGCAAGTCCACAATATTCGAACCGAAAACGGTCTGAATATACTTGCAAGTTTTAAAAGTTTCTGCTGGGTCCTCTATATGCGGACCGATCCCAGTCCGTATATATTTGCTATGCCTATTTTCGCCACATTTCCAGACCGATTTCAGTTCACACATTTTTTATTATTTTATTATATTATTTTTTTGGGACCAATTTCGGTCCGGTTATTTCAATTTTTAAATAACCATTTATATTTCTTACTGAAATGTACGGACCGATTTTATGTCGGTCTGTATATTATTTTTTTTCATACCAGGTTTTTTCATATCAACTATAGGGACCAAGATCGGTTCGGATATAGATATTCAGACCGATTTGTAATATATTCGGACCGATATTTCGGTCTGAATATCTGATTCCTGCAGTAGTGTTTCTATTCCTTGACATTGCTAAAACCTTTAACAATCAATCTTATTTAATAGGTTTTTGTGTCTCATGAGCTTTTTCTTATTCCACTACCCCTCATGGAACTAGCTCTAGTTCCAACTCTTGTGCATCTTTGAAATACTGGAGCATCCTTGACTTCTTCCAAGTCTACCTTGCTTCCACTATCCCTTCTAGAGATATAATCTTTTTCCAAGTAGATAATAGTCCTTGAGATTGTATAGGTAATACCTCTTTGTTTCCTTATGATAACCTATGAAAATGCACTTGTTCCTCTTGATGCAAGCTTATCCTTGGATGTGCTCTTGACAAAAGCTTCACATTCCAAATTTGTAGATAAGTCAACTTGGGGTTACTCTCCATAACAAATCCTGTAGGGTGCCTTATCTACAATCTTAATTGGAACATGACTTAGTGAGTGTGCCCTCATTTCCAATGCATATTCCTAAAAGGATAAAGGAAGTATTGCTTGACTCATCATTGAATGTACTATTTCCAACAAAGTACAATTCCTCATCTTACTTACACGATCCTACTATGGTTTACCTAGAGGTGTGAATTGTGAGATAATTTCATACTCAAAAGCGATGAACTATTGGCTTAGATATTTATTACCTCGATCCAAGCAAAGTTTCTCTATCTTCTTATCAAGTTGATTCTTTACTTCATTCTTGAACTCCTTAAATTTACTAAAGGATTCTAACTTATACCTCATTAAGCAAACATATCATATCTACTTAAATCATCAATAAAAGTTATAAAGTAGAAATCCACTTCTTGCCGCTATTGGAAGAAATTCACAAACAACTATGTGGATCAACTCCAACAATTCTATGGGTTGTTCACCTTTATTACCAAAAAGTGCCTTAGCCATTTTACTTGTGAACACACATGACATGTATCAAGAAGTGCAAAGTCAAGTGACTCTAAGTACCCTTCTTGATGTAGATTTGGCAAGTGTTTCTTGTTCACATGGCTAAGCCTACAATGTCATAGGTAGATTTGTCTTGAGCCCTTAGACTTATATTACTCATTATCAATCCATAAACTATGTTTTTCAAATCTAGAAAATATAAATCATTGATTAATAATGCCTTCCCATAACATATTTTGTTTAAACGAAAACCCTTTTTGTGTCTAAACTCAACAAAAAATTATGTTTATGGAATCACTAGGCACATATATCAATATTCTAGTTTTGGAACCAATTTACTTGACAAATATAAATCCTATGGCTAATGAAGCTACTAT